CACAACAACCAATAATCTGGAAGCCAATCGCAATCATACCGCTGCCATACAAGCTCACGTCCCAACCACTCTGCAACCGTCTAGAGACACTCTTCGACTCCCGACAATCATCAGACCAAACTGGCTTTCGCAAAAACTTCGGCACCGAAGACCACCTTTTCACGGCAACAGTGATGTTCGAACGATCGTACGAGTGACAACTCAATTTGTGGGCAGCTTCGTAGACTTCAAAAAAGCGTTCGACTGCGTCGACGAGCAGTGTTGATGGGACGCACTACGGGAGCATAATCAAATATCATCCTGCCACGCAAGTTCTCCAGCGAGCAGACGGCCAATGAGGACCAACGCCAGCAGCACAGACTTCCACATCGAACGCGGCGTCAAGCAAGGTGAACCACTCAACTCTTACCCGTTCAACGCATTGCTCGAGCATGTGTTCCAGACAACAAATATGTATTTTGATCAATAGAAAGCTTTGATATACGAATGGGGCACGCGAGAGATACTCGCCTGACCTATATGCGGTTTGCCGATGACGTGCTGCTTCTGGCACCCAGCTTGCGACAATTAAAATGTATCCTCCATGACCTCAAACACGCGCCATCCACATGTGGTTAGAGCTGCACCCCGCAGACAGCACGGACGAACGACGACGCACGCTGACATCGACGGCGACAAAGTCGACATCCTCAGCACCGAGCAAAGCACGAAAGACCTTGGTCGAAAGCTGCAACTAAATGGATACCACTGCTCTGAACTCTCCAACACAATTGCTATGACATGGCAGACATCCCACTAACTCCGCGACGAGCTGACAAGTAAACAATACCCTTTGCACAACATACGGCGGCTATTCAATGGCATGGTAACGGCAAGCGTGCTATACGGCTGCACCTCGTGGACCCTCACCAAGAACATGGTCCTGACACTGCGACACACACAGCGACGCATGCTGAGACTCATCGTGAATACACCAAGACGCAGAGCGCCAGCAACACGCAGCATCGACATTGGTGGCGACGCTAACCCCGACCCTGGTCAGCGCGACGACAGCACGAGCACAAGCGACAGCTCGAGCACCAACGACGCCAGAACACTACATCACTTCGACATCGTCGAATACGACTCCGACCTAGAACCGTGGGAGGATTCCATTCGCAGAGCTACCCACGCAACTTCAGATCTAGCGACACGCTTCAAAGTGGACGACTGGAAGACCCTATACCATGAACGAAGATGGCAATGGGCAGGGCGAGTCGAAGCACAATCTCACCACATCTGGAACAGACTTGCTGCAGCGTGGGAGCCTGATGCCCACGACGCCAGACCAACGATACGCAGACACGGAGGACAGCGAAAGAGGTAGTGCGACGACATGTCACAACTCATACGATCTACCACTGGGGATAATACCAAGACCTGGATGGATGTCGCGGGAGACCCGGCATGGTCGAACAACTGGGACAAACAGTGCCTTGCCCACGCGCGCATCTGACCAGGCCCTGGCCCGCCCGCGCCGCTCCTAAGGGGCCCGACTCCTGGCGGACGGACACGCACTCCTCGTCTCGTCTCTCTCGTCTCCCCTAACGAAAAGAAATTGAGAGCCTCGAGCCTGAGAAGTAGGAGGAGGAGCAGGAGGAAGCGGAGGAGGAGGAGGAGGAGGAGGAGGAGGAGGAGGAGGAGGAGGAGGAGGAGGAGAAGGAGGGGGGGGATGGGAGGATGAGGAGGAGGAGGAGGAGGGAGGAGGAGGAGGAGGAGGAGGAGGAGGAGGAGGAGCAGGAGGAGGGGGGGGATGAGGAGGAGGGGAGGAGGAGGAGGAGGAGGAGGAGGAGGAGGAGGAGGAGGAGGCGTTTCGGCGTTTCTGGGCCTGCTGAGGGGGGACCCCCTCGCCCGACAGTCTTACTCCGAGCGGCGCGGCGGCGAAGACACAGCAGTGGCGGCAGCGGGAGGCAGCTAGCTCAGGCGATCGAGAAAGAGACGACGACGCTTCGGGCCCCTCACTGCATCCCCTTCATCCATAGTCATGTCCTCCCACTCCTCCAAGTATTGATAATGAGCAAGGCGATATAAGCATTCTAGGAGATCTGCAATGCCGACCAACTCGGCGGTCATGGTGCTGCACTTCGGGTCCAGGGGAATACTCCTACGCCTCCAGACTACCTCCTCCATCGTCGCCTCATGATACCAAGAAATAACCCAGCCCGCTCCCACGCCCTCCTCCCGCTTCCCGCCGTCAAAGGAACAACGAAGGTGACATCCCGATTCAAGGGTTGCCCAGGCCGGACGTGGGAACGTTTCCGTACAAGCTGCCGCCAGGGACAGGGCGCGTGTAGCACAGGAGTCGGCCTCGCGGTTGTACTCGCGGTATACATGGCGTACATACTCTCCCCCATATTCAACAGGAACCCAACCAAGCTCATACAGCTGATAGCGACGAGTACGAACACGACTGAGGGGAGCTAGGAGGAGGAGGAGGAGGAGGAGGAGGAGGAGGAGGAGGAGGAGGTGGAGGAGGGGGCGATATGAGGAGGTAGGATGAGGCGCAGTAGGAGAAATGAGGATGAGGAAGGAAGGAGGGAGGGAGGATCGACAATCGGGAAAAGCACGACGACGACAAGGATCTCCGATCGGTCCGAAGCCCCCGGGGCCCCCGGGCCTTCCGGCGGGGCCCGTCCGCCATCTCCAGGTGCGCCGCGGCGGCCAGGGGCCATGCGGCGTCAGACCTCGCCGCGGCGGGTGGCCACCACCCGGAGGATCGAGCGTCGAGGAGGATCGAGGATCGAGGGGGGGAGGATCGGGGATGAGGATCGGGGGTGAGGATCGCGGAGGAGGACCGAGGACGGAGGGGAATTGAGGGGGAGGGTCGATGGGGGAGGATTGAGGAGATTGAGGACGAGGATGAGAATAAGGATGATAATGAGGAGGACGAGGAGAAGGAGGAGGAGAAGGAGGAGGAGGATGAGGAGAAGGATAAGGAGGAGGAGGAGGAGGAGGAGAAGGATGATGATGATGATGAGGAGGAGGAGGAGGAGGAGGATCGAGGGTCGTCGAGGGTCGAGGGGGATGCTGAAGAGTATGGAAGAGGATCGAGGGTCGAGGAGGATCCCTGAGGATCGAGGAGGATGGAGGCCTCTGGTTGGGGGGGGAACGGGGAGGGTGGAACTTCCTTCTCCACCTCCTCTTGCTCCTCGAGATTTTGCTTGGGGCTTTTGGACGTTGCCTCGGCGGGGTCGCCTCTGAGATCCGACGTAGTGAATCGCAAAAAAGAAGGAAGGGAAAAAGGAGGAGGAGGAGGAGGAGGAGGAGAAGGAAGAGGAGACCCGATTGTAACATCGTAAAAATCGCGCCGTGCGCCCTAGACCCAATCTTTCTGCGTCACTTTTCGAGTCGGATCTATCTGTGAGAGTCCTGGGGCCCAAAAGAAAAGCGAAAACGTCCGGCTCGAAAATAATGAGTTGCCAAGATCTCAGTAGACGGCGGGTCGGTAGAGGGTTCTGCCAGGCAGGAGATTCCACGTAGGCGCTGAGTGGGCCCTGGAAACGACAGGGCCGTATTTTTGTCACTTCCGTTTGACTGCTTCTTCGTCGATTCCGGCGCTGTTTTTTTCCCAGTTCCGTCGCTGTGTTTTTGCCGGTTCTGGCTCCATCTTCAATTCTGGAAGCGTTTTTTGCAATTTCTGATTGCCGTTTTTTAACCATTACCATTTTCAAGACACTTTTTCGGAAACGATGAAAAACGGCCCTGCCATGTCCGAGGCGCACTAAGGTAGGGGGGTCCCACATGGGGCTCGAGAGGGCCCGGGGGACGGGAGGGGATGCGATGACCGTCTTCGAAAGCTTCTGGCGGTCTTCGGAAACCTACGGGTGTTCTCGACAGCCTGCGCTTGCTTTCGGGGCTCGCCGAGGCTTCAGATGATTCTGCAGGTTTCTCGTCCTGGAGGGCTCCAGAGGATGAGCCGGAGGTTGTGTTGTATCTTTGCACTCACGTGCCACCCTCCTGGTGAAGGCCAACTGCATGGCCCAGTCCGCGAAGCACGAACCGAGATCATCTTCGCTTCCCTGCGGGTGATCTCATTGAGGGAGCTGGCTACTACCAGACCACCCCAACCTAACCCGAAGACCCACATTTCGGGTTGGGGTGGGAGTACGGGTTCCACATGTGTGTGTGTGTCTGTTTTAATGTTCCCCGACGCCCCCCCCGCTGGGAATGGAGAGCAAATTGGGGCCTTCGGGTTGGGTTGGGGTGGCTTGGTGGGTGGTGAGGAGCGGCCTGCTGGGATGGGGATGGGTCTCCTTGGGCCGTCTTGCGGCCGCCCTGGGGCAGTGTGCTCTGTCTTGGGTGGCTCTTGGCTTGGGCCGCCCTGAAGCTCTCCAGGCATGCCCTGACCTCCCCAAGGGCTTGCATTGGGGGATGGGAGAAGCCTGAAAGAAAGGAATGCGGACGGGTGATGTCCTCCTCGTCATCCGCCTTTTTTGACGTTGCGCGGACTTAGGGCCGATGCCTGACGCAGTAATGAAGGTACACACCGATAATCGGACGCGTGCAGAGGCAGAAGTGCTAAGAGAGAGAGAGAGAGAGCCACATGTCATCCGCCTCCTCTTGCTCCTCCTAGGGGAGGGGAACAGGAAGGGAGGAGAGGGAAGGAGTGAGGGTGGGGGTGGACTGCAGATGCAGCTTGGATGTGCCTCGAGGCCCCAAGCCACCACTGCCCTCTATCTATCATTCAACATGCGGGTGCTCTGGCTCAAATTACGCACGCTGATATGCAACAAACTTTCACGCGGACTCGATTCAGCTCGAAGGTACGCGGAGCTTACCTTGTTGCGCTATCGGTTACCCTGTCTGTCCATCTCTGCATGTCTCCATGCCTACCCGTCTGCTTGCCTTTTCCGTCGGGGGAAGGGGCGGACGCGACTTGCGCAAACAACGCCGCTGTGGACACGTTGGGCTGGCACAAATGGCATCGCTACAACGTGACTCACAGCCTCTCTGCACTCGGTTCAGCATGGCGGAAACGCGGCGAACACTGCTGCCACGTAGTCTCCCTCGGAGGACAAAGCGACGCCACCATCGATAGCCCCGAGTACTGCCACGCAGGGCTCCTCGAACACTGCCCGCTCCTCCTTCGACCAGCCGCGCGCACACATCCACCTCGCGAAGTCGCAGATGCACAACGAATACGCGGTCCGAATCTGGGTCAGCGTCGGCGCCCCTTCAGGTCCGGGAGGCAGGAGCGGCAACAGCAGCTCGAGGTACTGCTGAAGGTACGCGTCCTGCTCCGCTGCACTCTCGCCCAGAGCTCCTGCACTGAGCATGCAATAAGCAACGTCCTTCATATGCTGGGCCTTCCCCGCATGCTCAAAATCGCAGACGGCAACCGCGACGCCCTCGCCCTCCGCCCAGAACATCATGTTGTCCGGCTTGGCGTCTCCGTGGCAGATGGCCTGGAAGACGTCGGCCTTCAACCGCATGTCAATTGCTCGTCCTGCCATGGTCAGACGCCTCTCCCAACCTGCGAGGTCCTTACCGCACTCCGTGGTGGTCCTCCCATGATCCCAAAAACAGCCGTGCGCGTGCAGCCCACCGAGCGCCACCTGCTCATCAGCGCGCTCACCCCAGAAAAGTGAATGAAGCCGAGCCAGCCAATGCAGCGCGGCCAACAACTGTTGCCGCGTCAGGCGTTGCGTTTGCCTGGATCCCGGCAGAAGACTCAGGCACAGCACCGAAAGCGATGATTCACAAGTTGTGTGCAGCAAATTTGGGCAGAACGCCCCAGCAGCAGCAAGCCTCTGGGCGGTGCCACGCGTGTAGAACTCCATCTCAGCTCGGAACGATTCGCGCACCTTCGCATCAGACTCGTCCACTGGGTCCTGCGGAGTGACGAGCAGCTTGACGATGGCCTCGCGCTTGGCGCCCTGGTCACACCTGACCTGGACGGCAAGCACAGTGCCAAGGCCACCGCGGGTGTCCGCGAGCCGCCTGGATACGACAGAAAAATCAGAAGCGGTGCGAGGCATACCACCGCCCAAAAATCTGGCAACGCATCTCTCTGCCAATTTCTCTGGAGTGCTGTCAGCATCCACGTCCGCCAGCTGCGTCAGCGCAGATTGCGCCAGGAAGCTTTCTGGGAGAGCCTCCCAGTCGTTGGAATGATCGGGCTCTGAGCCCAGGCCGCACCAGCAAGGGAGGTGCTGTGCGCACTGCAAGACCAAGGGGAAGAGAAGGTCTCCGAGGCGAACACCTGCGACGACAATGCTCTGCCAGCCCGTAAGGCAAGGCCAGTACCGGGACTGGCACTGCAACGCAGCTCTCAAACTGATGGCAGTCTCTCGCTTCACGCTTGCGCGCTTTTGCTGAACGTCGTGGCTTACGCCGGCAGCGCCAGCGCACAACATGCACCTCAAACATGCCTCCAAGCCATCCGCTGTCGCGCTTGGGTTGTAGCCACCCTCGAGCGATACGATTATGCCCCGCTGGCCCAGGCTAGGCAGAGCCACCAGCTGCCGAATCATCGCCGTGTAACCCTCTGGCGTGAGGTCGAAGCCTCCGAGCGGGTCTCCTCGGGCAGAGTCGAAGCCAGCAGCCACGATGACCAACTGGGGACAATATGCCCGTGCGATGGGCAACACCAACAGATCAAATGCGGCCGCGTAATCAGCGTCGCCATAGCCTTCGGCGGCGTAAACGAACGCCAAATTCACGTTGTAACCGGAGCCGCTGCCGCTGCCGCAGTGGCCTGGCAATCCCGCGCTCGGGTAGAACTCCCGCGGCGCGTGCTCGAAGCGGTGCAAGGAGATCTGCCACCCCCTGTGGGGTCACCGGGCAAATCCTGCGACGCTTCCATCTCCCCAGTGGTTAGTATGACCCTTCCCCCTTCGCAGCCGCCCCCAAACTGCAAGTGTGCGGGGGGCGATGCCTATCGGCTCACTTTCCCTGCCCACCAGCGAGCGCGCGCGCCCTCGCCGCCCCCCCCCCCCCCCCACGCGCGCGCTCCCTGGTGAGAGGGGCCGATGACGGCCCACGAGCGCGCCAAGGGGGCTCCAAGGCAGTCCAAGAGGTCCCCGAGGTCCCCAGGAGCGCACAAGAGGCTCCAAGAGAGGTCCCGAAAGGGCTGCAGCGAGCTGCCCCAGCAAGAGGGCCCATGAGAGGGGCTCCACCTGGCCCAACTCAGAGGAGCGCACGGTGCTTTTCACGTGAATTTCGCGGGCCAGGATTCCTTGCCTACAGTGCAGGGGTGCGAACATGTCCCAGGCTCGCGCGAGGGAGTCATCATGAACACCCTTTGACATCCGACGTCTCGAAAAAATCGAGACATCGTGAAACATCATGACTGGAGCCCCAGACCCCATCTTTCTGCGGCATGTTTCGAGCCGGATCCATCTGTGAGGGTCCCGGGGCCCGAAGCTGGGCGAAAACGCCCGGCTCGAAACAGTGGAGTCGCCAGCATCTCAGGGCCGAAGGCCACCCCATGCGGCCCCAGAGGGCCAGAGAGGCCAACGCCGATCGAGGCGTCAAGACAGCTTCACGACAACCCGCAGGCGGCGCAGGCGGGCCCCAGCAGTGGGGCCCGGCGACCCATGGTGCCACAAGGCTGGACGAAGGAGGCTCCCCAAAGGCCCCAAGAGACGCTCGAGACATTCCCAAGCAGGCCACGACGTAAAATGACCGACGTGCCCAAGGACGTGACCAACCCACCTGAATCAACCGCCAACTGCAGTGTACCCATCATAAACGGATGACGATCTGGCGAGGAGCGCGAACCTTTGTGCAACGTGCATAGGGAGCTCGCACGTTGCACGCATCACGGGACCGACATGAGACACTGCCAGGGGATAGGACGTGGAGGGTGGATAGATGGAAGGACGATGATGTCCCAGAGGGGGTTGAGCGGTTGGCCAAAGCTAGTGACGGCGAATTCCTGTGTGGGTTCCTGTAGGACCACACCCCGCTGGCTTTCACACATGCTCGGGAGAACGGCGTCATGTGCGCGGGTAGCATCACTCAGGGAATGGAGTGAGAGTGTGGATCTGAAGAAGGCCGCACGCCGCTTGACCCCCCAGAAGCAACATACCGTGGCTATAATCTGCGCAATCTGCAACCCACCAAGGGGAACAGGAAGTATCTAAATCTGGGTGTCCCCGTACTCCGCTGGACCTGCGCACGAAAATTGCTAAAGCTGCGCAGGCTGGCAGCCCCGAAGGAGCGGCAATGCACGGCGAACTACATACTGCATCCGCGTGTGCCCGCGCTCCGCTGGGTGGCCCCCAGGAGCTCACGAAAAAGCGGCCACAGTTGCACAAGAGGCAGGCCGCGGGGTAGGATTCAGGAGGAGGGAAGCAAGAGGAGGGAGGAAAGGAGGAGGCCGGATGGAGGTAGGCCAGAGGTAAGATGCAGGATGAAGTGCGGAGCGAATCAGGAGGCGGGAGGAGGAGGAGGAGGAGGACGAGAGGGTGGGAGAGAACAACGCTCTGTTCAAAACGACTAGTCAACGCAGGATGGTTGGGGGCACACAGGGGGGCGACAGTTGCGCAGTTGGCAGCGCGCAGGGAAGCGAGGTCGGGCAGGGCAGGTGGGGTGCAGGCGAGAGGTGTGAGGGCAGGGCGGGAGGCGGGAAGAGGCGGGAGGCACGAGAGGGCGCGGTAGCACGGCAGCAGGCAGGAGGGGGGCACGATGAAGGGAGGAGGGCCGGAGCAGGGGAGGAGGCAGGAGAAGGGGTAAGCAGCAGTGCTCTTTTCCAGGCGAAGGCCCAACACCGGAGGGTTGGGAAACATGGTCCCATCAGAGCACCCTAATAGCGATCTGGACCATAGAATGACGGAATGATGATGTGATGAGCCCTTCGACGTCCTACCAAATGGACCACCATGATGTATACACATATATTTTTACACATATGCGCACGCGTATTTTCCTCCATATTTCATGTTGGAAGGGAACCTCCCACTGGATGGGCGCCACGATGGCCACAACGACCCTAGAAGGCCCCCAGGACGACCAAGGACGGTCCAAGAGGGTGTCCGAAACGGTCCCAAGATAGCCTAGGAGAGGTCCAATGCGGCTCAAAGCTGGCCTAGGAGTGCTCCAAATGAGCCCAAGCAGCCAAAGAACGTTCGAAGATGGCTTCAGGTGGCCTGAAGACGATCCTCGAATACCCCAAGTGGCATCCAAAAAGTAAGTTCATGTGGAACATCATGTTTTTTTGCATTCTCACCTTTTCGCTCCCGATCTGCTGCTGAGGATTCAAGATGGGCCCCAAGAGGCACCGAAGAGGTCCTCAAGACACTCCAAGAGACACCGAACGACTTCCAGGAAGCCCCAAACAGGCCCCACGATGCCTCGAAACGCCACTATGGGGCCCCCAAGAGGCTTCTACGATGCCTTCAAGAGGCCCCCAGGAGCCGCCCAAAGGCTCCAAGAGACCCCTAGATGCCCGTAGAGGCCCCCAAACGCCCCCCCTGACGTTCGGAGACGTCCCTCGAGAAGGCTCCGCGAGCACACGTTCTTTGATTTGTCACTTTCTCGAAGATTTCACAGTTCTGCCCTGACCGAGGTTGCTCTGCTCCCAGGCGGCCCACAATTGCTCCAACCTGGCCCAAGAGCGCCGCGAGACGGCCCACAAAGCCCAGGACGGACCATGAAACATCCACTGCCTCCTGTTCTAGCCCCACCCCCGCGCAGACCCCACCTAAACAACCCGCGCTCCCACACCAATGCGACACACACCCCGACCCCCTTCTCCCCTGCCCGCGCATACCGGGACGACCTTGGCCCCAGGCTCATCCCAAGTGAGCCTCCAAACACTCCACCCCCCTCCCACCCTGTCCAGCTTCGCCCGTTCAATTAATCTGGCTCACATGCAGCCTGACGCTGCCCGTGACCTGCCCGACCCTGCCTCCCCAGCTATTCCCCCAACTCTACCCTAGAGGCCTTTCACGATCTCTGCAGTTCGAAGCTGCCCGTGGCCTTCTGGACCCTGCCTCCCCAAGCCTATCAGCCTCCCCAACCCTTGCCCCCACTCTACCCCAGAGACCTTCCAGGGCCTTTGCAGTTCGAGGCAGGCTGTGACCTTCCCTGCCCTGCCTTCCCAACCGAAGCCCCCCACTTTACTCGCACACAGCACCTTCCATACCGTCTGCAGGTTAAGCTGCCTGTGACCCTCCCGACCCTGCCTCTCCAACAATTGCCCCACTCTCCAAACAGCCACTTTCAGGGCCAACCCATCATCGTTGGCAGCCCCTCCATCACCGTCGCGTACTCACCCCTTTCCTGGCCCTCTGGCGCGCGCGCCCCTAGGGCGCGCGCGCACTTCGAGGTGTACCACGTCCGTTTGCCCGCGACCTTCCCGACCCCATATCTGAGCATCGCCGACGCCAGGCGCTCGCGGACTCACGTCTTGTTTGATAAACAAATGCATGGCGATGTGGTCACTGGGATGGCGATGCTGGATTCTGAATGCCATCCTTCTCTACACTCGGACCAGAAAGCGGCCGACGCAATGCTGTCGAGATAATCCTGAGGTCTTGGGTGGGTACCGATGGGGGTCCTGATAGCTCCCAAGAGGCTCATGATACTGTATGCTCATAAGAGACAGTGGGAGGATCCTGACAGGCTCCTGAGAGGCCTGTGGGACGCTATTTGGGGAGCCCTGGGATGCTGTTGAGAGGGTCCTGAGAGGTGAGGCTCTTGAGAAGCTCTTGGGGGGGTCCTGAAATGTTTTTCACGTTGGAGCCAGGTGTGGCATTTTCGAAGACAAACATTTTTCTACGCGGAACATTCGTGTCTGAACAGACTCAACATAACATTTATCGACAGCCGATGGTTTGGTAACGACTTTGGGCTGATTTTGCCATGACCGCCCTAAAAACACCCTATTCGATAGAAGAAAAGCAATCCTGCAACCGCGAACGCACCGCGACAGCATCCGCCAGGGCCCACCTGGGAGAGACTCTGGATCTTTCTTTGCGCTACTCGAGCCCTTGATCGAGACGCTACCAAGGGATGGAACTTGCCTGAGTTATTATCCGTGCGCTTCGGCCAAAATGACTTCAGGAAGGCATGCCAAGGACCCAACACAACCCCAAAGCGGTCCAGGAGGAGTCCGAGACGGACCAGGATCGAGCGCTCAGGGGTCCTACACCTGCCCCGCGATGGCCCTCAGACGACCCAGTAGTCCAACAGCGCCCAAGCAAGCTGGTGGCCAGGCGGCCCAAGGGACGAAATGACCAGTCGAAGCTTTTCCAATTTGCCCCTAGAAGCAAACGGCAGGCCCTAGGAGAGGCCCGAAGAGAACAGAGAGGCCCCAGACGACCAGAGTCTTTCGAGAACGATAGAACAATGGCTGCTTCCATCAGCGATTGGAATGAAGGGTCGCTGGATTTTGCGTGAGCCTGCTGAATCGTCAGGACGCTAGGGTCATCATAGAATATCTGCTGCGTGCCATCGCCGTGGTGCACATCCCAATCTACTATGAGCACGCGCTCAATGCCTGAAGCGAGCGCCACCCGCGCCGCGACCGAAACGTTGTTGACGAAACACCCGCCACTGAAGGTGCCGGTGGCCCCGCCAGCATGGTGCCCAGGCGGTCGCGTGAGGCACATGGCGAAATCCAACTCCCGTTGCACGACGCGCGCAACCACCTCCGCGTGCATGCCAGCGCACAGCAACGCTGCAGCTGCCGTGTGCTGGTTAACGTAAACATCTGTGAGAGGCGCTTTGTCGTCGCCCAGATCGCATGAAGACGGAACCCCCCTTGGCGCGCGGCCCTCTGCCGCAGCCGCCAGCAACTCTGAGACATGCGAGGGAGAGTGCACAGCCACCAGCTCAGCCTCGGTAGCCATCCGTGGCCTCCCCAGGGAGCAGCAGCGCTGCAGCAGGCCTGCACGCCAGAGCTGCTCGAGCGCCGTGTGCGTCCTCTGGGGGCCCTCCAGGCGCATCACGGCTCGCCCAGGCGTGCCCGGGGGCCAGTCGCAGCAGTGAGCGTCGAGGCGCGCCTCGAACGCCACGCAGACGCGCGATGCCTGGTCGCTCCATCCTGCGACGCGCGGCGCGGCCAGCCACGCAGCTTTCCTCCGCGCCTGGAGGTACTCCACCGCCGCATCCAGCGTGCGGCAGCCTGCCGCCGAGGCCTGGGCCGCCTCGCGAGCAGAGGATCCCTGCTGCAGCAGAGAGCGGCGGATCGCGTGCGGGCGGGCCTCGCTGCCTCGGTGGATCTCGAGCGGCCCGGCGCGCAGCAGCGGGCAGAAGTCCCAGCGACACAGCTCCGCAGAGTTGGGCTCCTGGCCCCCCAGCACGAAGGCGCTCAAGGCAGGGTTCGCATCCAGGTACGCGCGCAGAGATGTCTGCCGGTCCATGAGCAGCGAGGTGTCCAGCACCTCTGCCACCAGCGCTTCACCTCGCCTGCGCAGCGCTGACACCGTGCGCCTGAGCACCATTGGCGCTGGCAAGATCGCCCGCGCCGAAGCGGAAAGCCGCATCGGCTCTGGCCTCGTGGCCTCCACCTCCATTGGGAAAAACATGCTGTCAGGGCATCCCTCATGCTCCACGTGGCACCGCCATAAGTGGGCAGAAGCGAAGTCCTGGCCGCAGCCGTCGCATCGCGTGAGCTTGACCCCGGGAGAAGGAATTTCTTGAAGCTCTCGAAGCGGCTGCAGCAGCTCAGCCTCTGGCCGTCGGCCCTCTGGCAGCAACAGCGTCTGCAACGTTGCTTGGAACCACAGGCGATCCGCCCACATAGACATGAACCAGTTGTCGTCTCCACCCTCCTGCTCGCGCGCCTCTTCGTCGCTGGAGTGCGCCAGCCGCGCAGTGGCCATGCCACATTGGCCATCCTCAGCCTCGAACGGCACCTCCTCAAGCTTGAAACCAGGTTCGCCGAGGAAGAAACGCGCCCAACTTGTACCGTCGGCGACCACGTCCACGATGGCCACGCCACGCGCCGACGCACCGCTGCATGGAAAGAGTGCCGGCAGTGCCACCTCGCCCGTTTCCAGGGCCCCCTCGCCAGCTGCCGCGCAGGTCCAGCTTGCGAAGCAAAATGCTCTGGCATGGTCGGGCACGCTCCCCAAACGGAACCGCCGCAGAGAGCCGCCAAAACACGCCCGGGCACGCTGCTCGTCGACGAGGTCATCGCACAACACGAAGCACGCGACATCTGGCACGCGATTGGCCCAGAAAGGCAACTCTGCTGAAGCGTCCATGGAAGCCCTCCGTCCGATTGCTGTTGAATATCTGGGCATTCCTCCGTACAAGCCGAAACTACTCTGGACCTGTCTGCTTGTCAGACTTTGTGCATTCCCTCCGCTGGGTGAGGGGGCACACGGCGTGGGGGAAACGGGGAGGGGGAGGAATCGCAAGGCGGAGATGGGATGCAATAACGACGTTTGTTGAGCAGGGACTGACCGTCCCAGCATTCCTATAGACCTACCACGACATGTTCTTAGAACCCCAAACTGTTCTAATAATAACAAAGGCAAGGTTCTTAGAACATGCATCCGATGTGAGCCAGCACAGTCTGAGCCGGAAATGTTCTAAGAACATTTCGTGCAGACCCCAACATATTCTTAGAACATTCTTTGGTGGGCCTATAGGAGGACCAGGACGCTTCGCCACTGCTTGAGTTTGGGAGCCAGGTTCCCCGCAAAGATGGACGGGACCAATGATTACGGCGACCCTGCTTGTGTGTGAGTGTGTGGTTTTGTTGCTACCCGCGCACCCTGTGCTGCTCAGCCCTTCTCCTGCATTCGCATGGCCTGTTCAGGCATCTTCCACATGCACGCCCCGTTTCTTCTGCAAGCGATCGCCTCTCAGGAAACCAAAAGGTACGGACACCGCTATAGTCGAGGTTGATGGAAGAGGACACGCGAGAGAACACAATACCCTTCCGAGGGTCGCATTCCCATAGGAATTTAGAAGGCATGGGTCGCCAAACACAGGACGCAAGAACACCCTTGATTTGGCAGGGCCGACCTACCAATCCGCCTCGACTGTACTCTCTGGACCTCTCCAGGGGTGCGCTCTGACCAGAATCTCGAGGCGAATTCAGCGGTGGCGACGAGGGCCTCCGAGGAGGCCCCAAAATGGAAAAGTGAGGACAAGGTAGTGGTATGGGTACCTTCTCCTTCTCTGAGCCTCTGTCCAATCCTCCCACTTGCTACGCCACGTGCGCGTCACGTTTTTTCTGCAGGCGATCTCGCCTCTGTCCAATCCTCCCGTCTGCTACGCCAAGTGGTGGTGGTGGTGGTGGTGGTGGTGGTGGTGGTGTGGGGGAGGAGGAGGAGGAGGAGGAGGAGGAGGAGGAGGAGGAGGAGGAGGAGGAGGAGGAGGAGGAGGAGGAGAAGGAGGAGGGCGCGCCTGAGCGTGTCACTGCTCAACGCCTCGCGACGGGTGCCGCCACCTCGCCGCTGCCAGGCAAGCCTGCGTCTTGGCTGACACATTCCGCGTGCCGCTGCTGGAAAGCACAGGGCCAACCAGGCATCAGTACAGCAGGGGCCCGACCACAAGAAATCTTCCACAAGAAACCCAACCCTGAGACCCCAGGACGTCCATCGACTTTCGGTATGGGAACGTCACGCTTTCCACAGCAAAACCATAGAAACCCAAGAAACCCAGGGCACCGTGGAGGCGAGCAGGGTGTTGCTTGGCATCGGTCTCCACTGAAGAAGACAATGGGGCGACGGGACCCGCTGGGACCGGAATCTCTTGGCGCCCACTTTCCATAACCTCGCTCGACGGCTCCCTCTCAATCGTCGCCAGCTACACTGGGCCGACCTGCCACCGACGTCCCCGCGCGAGGTGGGACGCGACGTGCGGTGCGCTCGCTCGAGTGGAAGAAGCAGCGAGGCCGCCGCAGCCTTCTTCAATCAACTCTGGCTTGCCCCCGCGCAACATGAGCGTGCCATTCAACGCGCATGGAGATCCGCTGTGCAGTCGGGCCTGATTGGAGAGGACACGCGACGAGGACAGCTAAGCACTTGAGCGACGATCAGAAACTGGTCTTACGCGAGATGACATAACGACCTTACGCGGCGGCTTACGCGAGCCGCCAGCGCGGCACGCCGCATTGGAGACGAGGGTGTTTATGCGCGACCTTGTGCGGGCAACTTACGCGCCAATGTCGGTGAAGGGCCCCGTTTTTCTGCGTCGCTCACGTTAAGGGTTGGCGGCGCCCATAAAGGAGGTAGGGGGAGGGGGGACAACTTCTTAGAAGGAGCCTGCTTCTTAGAAGGCGGCGGCCCTACATGTACAGATAAGGATCGCGCCTTCTAGGAAGCAGGGGTGCTTCTAGGAAGCCTTCCCCCCTCTCCTTGCCCCCTTCTGCGCGTGGCCGAAGGATGGGAACTGGCGGGACAGTGTGCGTGCGGCACCCCGCCTGCGGGACGGGGTGATCGAGGTCCTGCCGCCGCGGAGGTCGGGAGCTGTTTCCGCACCGAGTCGATGAGACGGATCGGCACCTGCATCCAGTCGGGCAGCGTCGGCACGGCATTGGAGTCGGAATCGCGTCGGTCGCGGCACTGAGCATCGTTTCACCCCCCCACTGGCGTGGCCTGGGCCCACCTGGCTGATGTCCCCCCCTAGATGGGGATACACACATATCTATATATATATATATATAGATATGTATACATGTATGTCTGTATATAAATATGTACGTATGTATGTATGTATGTATGTATGCATGCATGTATGTATGCATGTATGTATGTATGTATGTATGTATGTATGTATGTATGTATGTATGAATGAATGTATGTATGTATATATGTATGTATATATGTATATATATATGTATGTATGTATGTATGTATGTATGTATGTATGTATGCATGTATGTATGTATGTATGTATGTATGTATGTATGTATGTATGTATGTATGTATGTATGTATGTATGTATGTATGTATGTATATATGTCTGTCTGTCTGTCTGTCTGTCTGTCTGTCTGTCTGTCTGTATGTATGTATGTATGTATGTATGTACATATGTAGGTATGTATACATAGGCTGTTCCCTTCGGGTTTCGATGGGCCCATCCCCAACTGGGGTGGTGGGAGGGTGCGGCTCGGGATGGGGATCGGGTAAACAATGCCGAGAAATCAGAGTCGGAAGCGAATCGGTGGCCCCACGATGGACGGCGGTGCCGTCCAAACATCTGGCAACATCGGATCGTCGGAATACCAGGAGTCGAGCTCGAACGAGCCGGCCAGGATCGTTATCGAATTGGATTGACCTCTTGGCGGCGCGCACAAGGGGTGGTCTTCTGAGGAACTTCTCAGAAGGCATGGGCCTTCTGAGAAGCACCCAGATGAAGCACCCAGATGCTTCTGAGAAGGTTTCTTCTCAGCCTCTGGGCCCTTCCAAGAAGGCCCCTGCCTTGCGAGACGCCCCCCCCCTCCCCCTTTAGACGGCTGCCCCCACTCAAGCCAACCTCATGTGCGCGCCGCCGAATCCGAACCCGCGTGGGGGGCGGAGTAAGCCTCCCCCCTCCGTTGCACGTCAGTGTCGCTTCGGGTCTCAATCAGAGTTTCCCCTGAATTAACCCTTCTGCGGCGAAGTTCACCCGGGCCCGAACACATTATATGCTCATGCTCAAACCTCTCTTACTTGATTGGTCGGTTGCTCGTGCAAAGATTATAACAATCTCCTCCGCTTCCCATTGCTCCTCCTCCGCTGTTTCTCGCGACCTAGCGCAGATGGTCCCTATTGTTTTCTATTGCTACTGCTGGTGACGGTCGTCACCAAGGTGGGGGGGGAGGGGGGGCCCGTGGGTAACGGTAACGATTGGGCGATGAGGGGCACGTCGGCGCGGGGGCGCGCTGCGAGCGCCAAACATGTGGGGTGGTGGGGGGGGGGTCCAAGCCCCCGTTACCTGGGGGGGTAGGGGTGGCTCGGGTAACGACCGTTACAGTGGAGTCCACTCCACAGGAAACCTTCTGCAAGAAACCCAACCCTGAGATCCCAGGGCGTTCATCGATTTTCGGTGTGGGAAAGGCACGCTTGCCATTGTGAAATCATTGAAACCCAAGAAACCCAGGGCACCCTGGAGGCAAGGTGTTTCTTGGCATGGGCTTCCACTGTACGCGCCAGGGCATAGAAAACAACCTCCCGACTGGGCGGGCGCGCGGGCCCCTCTGCCCAGGGCCCCGCGAGATTCGGGGACCTCCAGGCTGCACTCTGGGCCCTGGCGCACTCTGGAATACTGCAGCCGCGGGCCGCGGCATCCTCTGGAACTCCCAGACGAGGGGCAACGATAGGGGGGGGGGTAGGGGTAGGGGGGGAGACATCGACCTGGAATCGGCGATACATCGCCGATCGATTGGAGATAGGCCTCCGATAGTGAATCCGCACCTTCCTGGGCAGGTTGGGACTATCGGGCCCCTATCGGCGATCAATGGGCGTTTGGGGGTCGATGCACCCCCTCCTGTGCCCCCCCCCCCCCCCTGTCGTTGCCCACTAGCAGAGCCCTGGCGTCCGGTGCCCTGGCCTCCGGGGCCGGGATCTGCTCTGGGGCCCCGCAGACCAAGACTCTGCCGACCGGGACTTTTCCGGCTCCAGCGGGAGGAAGCGGAAGTACGGGAGGCTGCCTCCGCCTGAGCCCGCCGGGAACTCGGGCGCGCCACTGTCCTTTTCTCGCCGGGATCCCCGCTCACGGGGCCCTGCTCTGCTTGCCGCGTCCGCGTGGCTGGCGAGCCGCGCGGCGAGCTGGGCCTCGCCCCCTTTGGGGCCGGGCTCCACGGTGATACAGCGCCAGGGCTCTCCAGCGACCCCCGACCTCTGGGCGCCACCAGAGGTAGTCACGACGGGCAGCTCTTTGTACGATCGCGGCCTCTGGAGGCCGCCCACGTGCGTTCCGAGGAGAGGGGGCTGGGAGGATCAAGCCGAGATCGGGCGCAGGCTCGGGCCCCATCGCCGATGCATCAGCGATACGGTGCGATCCTCCGACCCCGTCCACTCCGACAACATTTGGGTGGCCTGGATCGGGTCGGATGAAGGGGGGGTTGGTAAAGGGGGGTTGGCAAATGAGCTCACATAGTTGATTTCTCTGGCGCTTCCTAGCGCCAGATGCGCCACTGTACCTTTATGCTGCTCCCAAAGTGCTTAAGGACCACATCCCATAAATAATTTCGAGCACCCAGACAAGTATCGCAACAATGTCGAACGAGTATCGCCTCCGAGGGCCCGGCACGTGAAACCCCTCGGTT